GAACATTGTGGTACATGTCTCTTTGAATTATGGTTTTCTCAGGGTATATGCCCAGTAGTGGGATTGCTGGGTCGTATGGTAGTTCTATTTTTAGTTTTTTAAGGAACTTCCGTACTGTTTTCCATACTGGTTGTATCAATTTACATTCCCACCAACAGTGCAGGAGGGTTCCCTTTTCACCACACCCTTTCCAGCATTTATTGTTTCTAGATTTTTTGATAATGACCATTCTGACTGGTGTGAGGTGATACCTCATTGTAGTTTTGATTTGCGTTTCTCTAATAATTAGTGACATTGAGCATCTTTCATATGCCTCTTGGCCATCTGTATGTCTTCCTTGGTGAAATGTCTATTTAGGTCTTCTGCCCATTTTTTAACTGGATTGTTTGTTTTTTTGATATTGAGCCCCATGAACTGTTTGTATATTTTGGAGATTAATCCTTTGTCTGTTGTTTCATTTGCAAATATTTTCTCCCATTCTGAGAGTTGTCTTTTTGTCTTGTTTATGGTTTCCTTTGCTGTGCAAAAGCTTTGAAGTTTCATTAGGTCCCATTTGTTTATTTTTGTTTTTACTTCCATTACGCTAGGAGGTGGGTCAAAAAGGATCTTGCTGTGGTTTATGTCAAAGATCTTGTTATGGTTTATGTTTTCCTCCTATAAGAGTTTTATAGTGTATTGTCTTACATTTAAGTCTTTAACCCACTTGGAGTTTATTTTTGTGTATGATGTTAGGTGGTTTTCTAATTTCATTCTTTTACATGTAGCTGTCCAGTTTTCCCAGCACCACTTATTGAAGAGGCTGTCTTTTCTCCATTGTATGTTCTCGCCTCCTTTGTCATAAATTAGGTGCCCATAGTGCATGGGTTTATCTCTGGGCATTCTATCTTGTACCACTGATCTATAGTTCTGTTTTTGGGGCAGCACCATACTGTCTTGATTACTGTAGCTTTGTGGTATAGTTTGAAGTCAGGGAGCCTGATTCCTCCAACTCCATTTTTCTTTTTCAAGATTGCTTTGGCTATTTTTGTTACATAGTCTAATAATATTGTTTCTCAGTCATTGTCAGTCTTCCATATTTTCAGTAATTTTCTTTTTAACATCTTTATTGGAGTATAATTGCTTTACAATGGTGTGTTAGTTTCTGCTTTATAACAAAGTGAATCAGCTATACATATACATATGTTCCCATATCTCTTCCCTCTTGCGTCTCCCTCCCTCCCACCCTCCCTATCCCACCCCTCTAGGTGGTCACAAAGCACTGAGCTGATCCCCCTGTGCTGTGCGGTTGCTTCCCACTAACTATCTATTTTACGTTTGGTAGTGTATATATGTCCATGCCACTCTCTCGCTTTTTCACAGCTTCCCCTTCCCCTTCCCCATATCCTCAAGTCCATAAGATATCCATAAGATATCTGGTCCATATGACATTTGGTAGATGCCAAAGGTCCTTGATATTTGGTCCTGTCCAAAACCATTTGGCATGGACCAAATATGCTTATGGATGTTTTGGAGAGGACCAAATTTCAAGGACCTTATGGCATGGGCCAAATGTCTTACTGGACGTTCTAGACAGGACCAAATGTCCACTGATCACCCAAAGTAATACAGGGCTCTGATTACTAACTGGGTCTGGAGCACAAGCCTTCTGACCTCTAGCCTAGTCCTCCTTCTCTATCTCTTGTTGATGCAAATATGGTCAGAATGTTCTGTGCTCACAAATGAGAGTGAAGAAGAACTAGTGGTGATGCATTCTTCAAAGAATAGATGATACTCAGGTAACATAGTCAAGTGGATGATTTGACACTAGTCCACAGGTCTGCTGTCTCTCCCAAGAAATACGTGTTCTCCAAGCCACCTGGCCCTTGCCATCATTGAGAATGAAAAATGATGCACTGAACAAGTAATTATTAGGTCATGATATTGGTTACCCAGAGGATCTGACTTTGGAACTAATTTTTAAGTAATTTGGGAACAGTTATCTAACACTGAAGCTTGTACATCTGTGATAATGACACCAAGGATTATTGCAATTTTAATGCATTAGTCTTTCAAGATTCTCTCTATTCCTTGCACTAGAATTTTTAAAAATGGCAGAAAAACAATCTCAAAATCAGCCAACTTCCATAAATTAAGAAAATGTCATCTGGCATTTCTTTTCGAAACCCCAAGACACTGTTAGTTGTTTTATTCATTTAAACAAAGGTTTCAAGAGGTAGTAACATTTTATTGTTTTGAGTTAACCCAACTGTCATTTAAAATACTCATTCAGATTCATGGATTAATCTGTCATAACAGCTTATCATTCACTCTACACATAACACTCATTAGACGTGTGGTTCCTACAATGGCCACAAGTAGTGATGGGCTGTGTGTCTTTAGGACCAAAATATGGATATACATATGGAAACCCAAATCTTTTGTCATCTCCAAGAGTGCTAAACCTTACTTTTAAAAGAAGGAAATGAATACATTTTTGGTCTTTTTCTAATTTCAATTCCTTATGTAAGTGACCATAGATGTATCTAAAGAAATGGTTTCTGGGGCATTTTTCGTTCTCTTGTTCTACCTTTCAGTCCTGTATCTACTGAGATAATCACCATCTGGTTAATCAAACTAACACATTGCTGTGATTGCAACTCTCTCTTCTCAAAGACCTCCAATGGCCTCCCATCATCAATGGAATAAAGTTAAAATCTCTTTCCTGGCATTCAAAGCCTTTTAGAACTGCCCCCATACTGTTTTCTCACTCATCTCTCTCTCTCAGCTGCTACCCCTTGCCAGAGGCATCATGGCTCCTGCCTCTCTTGTCTCTGCCTGTCCAAATCATGCCCATCCTTCAAATACACTTGACTTCTCACATCATGTCTTCTAGAACATCCAAACAGTAAGTGATCCCTCTTGTCGCTGAATACCAAGCACCTTTCTTTTTTTTTTGGAAGCACTCGACACATACTACTTTGTCTTACATCCATTTGTGGTAGAAATCTTTTCCTCTTTCTCAAATGTATGTTCCTTGAAACCACGCAGGGGCCATAGAGGACCTGTCATTTTAATTGTCATTTTTCCAATCATACCTAATACAGTGTTGAATGAACGCAAATGCTAGATCCAGGGCTTCTCGGGTGGCGCAGTGGTTGAGAGTCCGCCTGCCGATGCAGGGGACACGGGTTCGTGCCCCGGTCCGGGAAGATCCCACATGCCGTGGAGCGGCTGGGCCCGTGAGCCATGGCCGCTGAGCCTGCGCGCCCGGAGCCTGTGCTCCGCAGCGGGAGGGGCCGCAACGGTGAGAGGCCCGAGTATCGCAAAAAAAAAAGTTGGTTTTGTCTTAAGCAGGTAAACCACAGGAGACAGGAGACTCCAAACCTTTCTTATATATGGTTACTTATAAATATGTTGTTCTAAGAAGCCTGGGCATGTTAAAAAAGAAAAGGAACTTACATAAAAGGTTGCAAAGTAGAAGTTGGCTAACTGGGTCTGACCTGAAGATGTGTTTGGCTGGCCTTGTGGTGTTTTTTAAGAGAATATTCACCAAGTTAAAAATTGGGGAAATTTCACATAAAACCCATGCCTTGCTGATTATCTTGCAAAACTGAAAGACCTGGTTCCCTGGGCTTGCATTCTCGCATGGTGGCAACTAATTGAAGTTGAGTACTCTTTGTACGTGGTCCATGCTCTCTAGTTTGCCACCGTCCTCACCCAGCCTATATGTCACTCTCTTTATACCATCTGCCTGGCCCCTTTGGGAAACTGAATCTGAGACTCTGGATATAAAGGAGACAGAACAGGAGCAAAGATAACAATAAGGACAGAATGAAGACTGTCCAAAGCCAAGATAAGCCATAGGATGGACACTTAAAAAAAGTTGGAGACGTGGTTAAAAATATTCACGTGAAGAGAAACTACAGTGAATGAGGAATGAAGTAAAGAACCATAAAAAGTTGCCATGTCTTCAGGCAGCTGAAGGGGACACACTGTCGTCATCAGCAGTTTACTGTGACTGAGCAGATCACCTCAGTATCTGCATGGCAAAGGAATGAAAGGGAGAATGTTACCCTTTGCGGCAGAACCAACGCTCCTATTCTCTCTGTCCTTGATGGAAAGCCAGTCACCAGAATCTTCTCGCTGGCCAACAAGAACTTACAGTTGATGACTGGAATGTTTTGCAACTGCAGGGAGACCTAGGCTTTTATGAAGCCTACCAAGGTCCTGGTGAGAGCTGCCATAACTCACAAGGACGCAAGCCCTTGCCCTGTCTCTGTGGGGACTTTCTCCTCCAGCCCACTGCTCACTGATGACCTCTCCTCTCTATTTTCCCTGCAGAGAGCCAGCCCGCTTGGCCACTAGGGGGCCCTATTGCTCACCGCATTCAGGACTGACCATCAGTACTATTGGCTCCCCTCCCTGCCACCAGGGAAGTTCTTAAAAACTTATTCCCATCACTCCATGTATTTTTAGTGAAAAGTAACCTAGGATTATTCCAGCCTTGTCTTTAGAAATAAGAAATGTTGAACAGCAAACAGAAGAAAGTCAAGCATAATATGGAAATGTGAAAATAGCAAGACCTCGGTGCTTTGTGACCGCCTGGAGGGGTGGGATAGGGAGGGTGGGAGGGAGGGAGACTCAAGAGGGAAGAGATATGGGAACACATGTATATATATAACTGATTCATTTTGTTGTAAAGCAGAAACTAACACACCATTGTAAAGCAATTACACTCCAATAAAGATGTTAAAAAAAAAAAAGAAAAAGAAAATAGCAAGACCAGGTCACAGGGGAAGAAAAGCTGTTATCTGGGTGGCCTTCTCCTTAGTTACAGAGCTCGTGTCTGCAGTTTGCCTCTCTCTCACGGCTTACTCTTCTCTTCTACCAGGTCTCTCGGTCCCTACTCACCCTCCTCTCTCTGTCTCCTTCTCTGTCGACAAGCCACAGTCAGGTCAATGTAGAGAGAGATGGCAGAAACAGTTATCCTGGAACGAGGACTCCATTTGTCCCCAGCTCACCCAGTTCACTCCTGAAGGTGTGGTCCTGCGGAAGAATGGAGTGGGAGTTCCGCATATTTCCTCCTCCAACAAACCAGTTCACGTTGGGGTTCCAGCGGTTCACAAAGCCACAGAGATGATTTTCTTCAAAGTCACATTCTGGCAAGAGAGAAATAAAAACAGACTTCACGTAGATGTAGTTATGCCTGGGTACACCCAGGCTTACTGCAGTTTGCTATTAGATACTCAGATATGTTTCTCACTCCCTTTGACCACTGGGATCTTCGTACCAGGACCCCTGGACAATGTCGGTCAAGAAGAGAGATCCTGTAATGAACAGAGATTATAATTCATCATTGCTTCTTTGGATTGTGGCCCTTCTGCCTACTTGCCATGTGGCTTGCTGTGTGACCTCTCCTAGCCTCTATGTGTTCCTAGGAGAAATAGGGGGACACTCCCCCTGCACAGGGCTGTGGTAAGTGTGGACAGCTGCCAGCACAGTGCCAGACACATGGTTAGTGCTTGGTCAATCAGCCAACTCTGTGTCAAAGCACTATTTAGAGCTATGCTTTTAGCTCCAGAAAGTTTATCCACCACCTTTCTGGTAGCCCATTCCCCCATCCCCTTCTCTCTCGATGGTAGACAAGGTGCTAAGCTAAGGGCTAAGGGGCATGTTTCCTAGATGCTAAAATCATCTGCTTTGCTTATAAACAAGAACCTGGTCAGCGTAGTCGGGACAGGAATATCTTAGGCACTGGGTCCTTCTGCAGCTCCGGAGTGGAGATAAAAGAGAAGACAAAGAGATTCTCTTTCCCCTTTTCAATAGCACTGACATGTTTGCACAGATAAATTGTTCCCAGTCAACAGACTCCTTTACGGGGAACAAGAAACTCACAAGCCAGTTCTTTCATTGACCCCCATAATTATCAATTAAAAATATGAAGTGTGATTGTGCTGGTCATCTCTTATTGGCCCCTCCAGTCCCACCCACCTTTCTTCCACGGGGCTCCATTCTCCAGAGGCTGACCTGTACGGCCTTGTATGGACTTCCCTGCCTTCTGGCTTCTCATTGGATTCAACCAATGGAAGGTAGGAGGAGAGCAAGGTTGGGGGTGTTTATTCCTCCAGCTCCCTCTCTGCCAGGTTGCCATGTGTTGGCTGTGTCTCTCTATTGAGGGACCGTACAGCTACTGTCTCCAGGTTCTGGTAACCGCTTCTCCCTTGCCCCTTCAGACCTAAAGATATTGATGGCTCATGAGTCATCACTCTGACTAGTCCTGGATTACTGCACTAGCTTTGACTGGTTTCCTTCACCCACCCACACCTTTGTAGTCCCTTTAGTGAGTTTTCCTCAAATTACTCAGGTTGAATGTACTCTGTTTCCACTTTCCTGCCAGGGTCCTGACTGATACAGTTATCAGTGTGCTTTTGTATTAACAAGCACTGAACATTTTTAAGATTTTCATTTTCAACTTTTCCACTACAGCATCCGCTAACCCATGGCCAAGAGTCGGTGCCAAAGGCTGCCGCAGAGTAAAGGAAAAGCAAAATATTCCTCAATGTGCCAGGCAGTATTCTGAGCACTTTATACAAATTAAATTATCTAATCCTCAAAACAACCCTACAAGGTAATGTACTATCATTAACCTCATTTTACAGATGAGGAAACAAGGGGAGCAAAAAGAGTGCACAGAAAGAAAGGTAAGGTGAGAGTACGATCATACAGTTCAACAAGAAGAAATATCAGCGCTCCTTTTGTGTTTTAAACAAACTAGAAGCCATCAAGTGATTTGGAGAAAGGCAATTAACATTTTTGAGTGCCAAGCACTGTGACAATAACCTTCACATCCCTGATCTTATTAGTCCCCACAACAATCCTACGAGGGAAATATTTTATCCCCATTTTGCCGGTAATGAAACAGAAGCTGAGGGGAGCAGTGCATTGACTAAGACAGCAGGTGGCGCTCCACTAGGTATGTCCGACTCAAGTCTGTAGGGTGTTAAGATCCCCGCAGCCGCCACTAAGGAGCTCCAAGGAAGATACAGTCTTAACTCAGAAAATGGTCACAATCTTCAGAAAATGGTCGCAGTCTAGGTCGGTTTTCTTTCAGAACTGCCCTTGACTCTCTTGCCTCTTTCCTTTCCACAGCCATTCAGCCTCCAAGTACGGTCAGTGCTGAAAAATCCCTCAGATCTACCATCTTTATCCCATTCCACTGCCAACCCCAATTTTAGACCCTCGTACGTCCCCTCTGTAAGGTCACAATCACTTCCTAAGGGCTTTTCTATCTCTGACCTATTTTCTTTGTTTCCAACTCATTTTCCATGCGGCAGCCAGTCATCATCTGAAAACGCAGCTGCAGACCCCTCCCCTGATGACTGACTTCTAACGCCTCCCAACCACATAATCCCGGAACCCAAGCTCCACAGCTGGGCTCCAGACTCTTCCTTAACAGACTCCCTTAACAGTGCTGATTCTCACCTCAAACGCTACCCAGCCTCTCGCCTTTGCCTGGACACACTCGGTGCTGTCCACCCACTATGGGGTCTGCCCAGAAAGAGTGCTTTCCTTCCTACCCTGCTCCTCTACCTGACTAAATTCTACTCCTTCTTGAAACTACAGCTCAAATGCATCTCCTGGATTTAGTCCTGTCCAATTTTCTCCCCTCCTCCCGACACCTCCACAGCACGGCTTGTCCTTCTCCAGCAGAATTTGTCATATACAGAAACAGCTTCAGTAGGAGGCGAATGGAAGGTGAGTGACCTCAGGACATAGAGTATGTCTGCTTTTGATGCCCTCTCAGAAGCTGGCACAGAAGAGGCACCTACCAACCCTGCTCAAGTGGAATCTAAGTGACAACTGTGAGTATAAAGACAGAGCAATGGTGTGTAAGAGAGAAATGGAGGAAAGTGAGGAAAGAGGTAATAAAGAGGTAACAGGACGCCTGCTTTCTGGCAAAAGCTACAAAAAGCTGAATATGCAGCAAACTGGATGTCACGTTTATTAGAATACGTTGAGCTTAAGGCAGCAACTCAGGTTACAGTCGCTGCATCTACTTTTCTTTCATCAACCCAGTCAATCGGGGCAAACTCTAATGAGCCTTCCTCTGCTAAAGACAGAGAAACATCATACAACACGCAAGTGATGCAAAATTCAAAATGCACTGCATGGTGTCGTTTATAAAATGCCCTGCCTTTCAGATTGATTCAATTCCCTCTGGCAACAGGAGATTTTAGAAAAAGATGCATGTTCTGATGCAATGAAAAGGAAACCCACTTACCGATACAGTAGCCAGTTGTTATCTTGATTTCAAAGAGTGCAATGCTGGCTGTATTTCCATGTCCTACCACACCTTCTATTAAAATCTGTACAACACATGCGGGAGAAGGGAGTTAGACTTCAAAACACCACGTGTCCTTTATCAGTATTTCAGCTACTTGTCAGGAGCTGTTCAGCGATTCAAGGCAAAACGAGATTGTTTGTCTCGGCTCATTGCTATAGGATACCAATCTCATGATGGACTTTACTGAAAGAAGGCATATGTGTGTGTGTGTGTGTGTGTGTGTCTGTGTGTGTGTGTGTCTGTGTGTGTGTACACAAGCTCATACACATATTCTCAGAACTTTGAGGTGATCAAGGTGTCCAATAAGAGCTCAGAGTCAGCCGTCTTCCATCGTAAGCACAGTCACCACCTTCTCCGGTGCTTGTGGTGGCACCAGTTGGCTGCAGATGGACAGGAGAGCTTGTATCCCTGGGGAAATCCATTCTGAGACTAGCCAGGAACTGAAGGCAGAGGCCTCAGCAGGGAAAAAAAAATTCCTTGCAGGAGGAGGTAGGAAGTGCCATTTGACTAGTGGTGGGGGATTTCTGCATGAGGTGGAAGACGCTCAAAACTCATCTTGTAGTTTCTATATTACTGAAAATTTGAAAATTTTACATGAAGAACAGAGGGAAGCATAACAACTTATGTGGCTGATTTCAAGCACTGTTCACAGTAGGTCCTGCTTCTGAAAATATTTGCTTCTCCTTATGTGATTTTAGTCCAATATTTTGCAGCTATGCTGGTAGATTTAGGGTGTGATACACTGTCCGGAGGACGCTGTGAAATAGGGAGCTCAGACCTTCAATGCTCCGTCCCTTAATCCACCCTGCTGCCTGACGGGAGGGACTACAAGTAGACAGGGAATGTAGGAGAATACCGTATTTCAAAGCTTGTTGAGGAAGAAGAGATATGGGATAGGGAATTGAAAAGGGGACTAGGAATGGAGAACATTTTCTTGAAGGCTCCGCTTTGTCCCCCATGACATGTTCTCACTAAATATCACACTTCATGGCCGAGTTCAGATTACATCTTCCTTCCCTGCTCCAATACACATCCAACTTTATCTTACTTTCTCTACCTTATTTTCCCATTACTTCTGATGGAACAATTTCCATCTCTGAAAAGGAATCAGAACATGTCCTTTAAGTATCTTTCCTCTTTCAATGTATTTTCGTTTTTTTTATTACAGTTAATGTCTTGTTCAAAATTTATAGCAAACAAACTATCAGGAAGACAACATAAACACATACCACACATAACTTAGGAGGATGAAACAAAATTATAAGAAAAAAAATTATAAGAAATGAGAATGCTCCCTAAAGCCCACTGGAAAATAAATTCCCATTGAAGAGGTTGGTTTGAGCCCCTTTTAGAGTCTTACAGAAATCCCACTTAAATACACACAAAACAAATCTGGGAAGAAGCTCTTTTAAGGAATCAACAAAATACTAATTTACACTACTGATATTTTTCTATGATGCAGCTCCCATAAGATGTCACATCCTAACACAGGAGATAACTAACTTCAATGGCAGAAGTTTTCATAAGATCTTAGAATAGCATAATGCCAAATAAGAAGCCCTGCACATAAACTCTACCTACCTTGAATTTCTTGGAACTGTTTTGCAAGTCCAAGCTGGCTATGAGCCAGCTGTCCGAAGGTTCCTTGGCTGACCAAAGCAAGCGATCAAAGCTTTCATCATCAAATCTCACATAGAGGTTCAGCCGGCTGGGCTCTGATGGAGACCCTGAAGATGTGGTTATCTGGTAGACCAGTCGGAGGCAGCTCCATTCCTCAGTCTGTACATCAGAACTCAGCAGCACGGCTTTCTCCCCCTGCTTGGCAAAGGAGGTGTCCACGTAAATGTAATGGCCTGGAAGGAGAAAGGGACACAGAGAAGAGATCATCTTCTGCTCACAACTCAGGAAAATACACAACTGTGGTCCAGTAAATCTGAGGGCAGATACTGCCTGCAGATGCATTTTGTGGGGCCACTGAATGTTGCCTGAACATGGGGTCTCTGCTTCTGGTGAAAAATTAGAAGGTCCAGTAACACTGAGGCTACTTGCACATGACACATGACAATAACAATCCAGAGCTGAGTAGTGCTGCCTCTTCAGAGGTGGTATGCGGGCTCCATTTCGCCATAATCCCCACTACTCCCTATAACCTTCTGACATTGAAGCCAAGTATCTGTTGCCTATTATCACCTTATAACAGGCCCATTTAACAAATTGCATTCATCTTCCTGGTCCCCATAGGCATATGAGTTTGAGAACCCAGGCTAAGGGGCTTCAGAATCTGGAGGAGCAGCATTCCTCTACTGGAGTCAGAAAGCCTTGGTGGATCCCTTCCCTTTCCATAGCTCCCCTCATCCCTAATGACTCAATCTGCATTTGACTTGCCTCATTATTGTAGATTAAATTGATTTGGTTACCTTAGATCTTAAAGCCTAGGCAGAAAACGTTCATTGCAAGTTCATTAGGCATAAGACTCTCTTCCTCTAGACTCTTCCACGACCGAATCTCATAGTTCTGATAACTAAGTGAGAAAGTACATGCAAAACATGTAGGACAGGGCTTGGAAATCAGTAGACACACTGGGGCCAGCAAGCATTATTTCCCTCTCCTCCCTTGTCCCCTTCCTCGCTCCCTCCTTCCTCCCCTTCCCTTCTGTCCTCCCCTTCCCTTTTCTCCCATCCCTCTCCACTCCCTCCTCCTTTCCTTTCCCTCTTTCACTCCCCCTCCCTCCTCCTGCCCCCTCTCCCCTCATCCTCCTAATATGGACAAGGGGTGCTCTGCTGGCTACAGCAGGCTGTAAAACAGCATTTCTATGACCAAAAAAAGGGGTTGGAACCGAGAATTCTCACTTGAGCCTTCCAAGTCTAACTCTGGTCGTTGGCTTCCTTAACACTGATCTGATCTGCCTGTGGGTCTTGGGGACCCTCTGCCTTTCTGACCTGCACCCTCATGCTTGCTCAGAGGTTCCCACATTCGTGGCCAGCATCTAATAGGCAGTCTTCTGTCATGTGACCACCCACCCTACCCCTTGCAGTTGGGGCTTCCCAACACTAAATTCTTACTGGAAAGGCCCTAAAAGGCCTCTTTGCTTGATGTTCTTCAGCCCTTCTTCCCACACTTGCGATCCCAAATGCTCATCCCAGCCCCATCCTGTGGCAAGTGCAGATAGGCCAGTGGCAGCTCAGCTGATGACCACCCTCACAGTTAAGGAACAGTTAGGGCGTTGTCTTCAAGGAGCCTCACTTGCCTGTGGAAGCTTTCAAGATCAAGATCTATCTCCAGCTGGCAGTCTTCTCAACATAGCAACTACCCACTGGGTGCAAATACAACTGCTTCTAGATGCCAACCCAGGCACCCTCTGTGGATAAACCTGGCCCTTGCAGTAATCACCAGCAACACCATTACCGCCTAGGTACAGCGAACACTCATTATGAACCAGGTGCTGCTTTAAGTGCTTCACATATATTTACTAGGTGTGGGGTTTGTTGGGTTTTGAAGCACTAACTAAGCTGGGGTTCTCTTTTTTTTTTTTGCGGTACGCGGGCCTCTCACTGCTGTGGCCTCTCCCGTTGTGGAGCACAGGCTCTGGACACGCAGGCTCAGCGGCCATGGCTCACAGGCCCAGCCGCTCCGCGGCGTGTGGGATCCTCCTGGACTGGGGCACGAACCCGTGTCCCCTGCATGGGCAGGCGGACTCTCAACCACTGCGCCACCAGGGAAGCCCCTAAGCTGGGGTTCTTGATGCCAACCCTTTTTTGAAACATAATGTTGCTTCATTATGACATGAGGGAATGAATAAGCACCATCCTCCTTGTCCCACCCTGCTACTACCCCAAAAGAAGGGACTCTAAGCAGACTGGTAGTGGGGTGGGGTGGAGATGGGAATTGATGGAGATCCTGAGAGCACTTCAAACCTTTTCTGAGGAAGTAGAGGGTTGGTACATGGGATATAAAAGAGGAAAGAAACAAAGAAAGTCTGTGCTGTGTCCTATGGATGTTTACATTGCATGCCAACTTGGTTGCCGTACGAGGCCCACTTCTCCCTGGGGCACTTGCCCAATTTCTTTCCCTCCTTCCTTTCCCCATTCTAGAAGGGAACAACTCACAGCAGGGGCTCTCAAACTTGAGCCCAGAGTCACCTGGAGGGCTTGTTCAAACCCAGATTGCTGGGCCCACTCCTAGAGTTTCCGATCCAGTAGGTCTGGGGTGATGCTGCACATCTAACAGACCGCATTTCTGAAAAGTTCCAGGTAATGCCGATGCTGCTGGTCTGTGGGTCACAATTTGAGAACCACTGATTTACACATCTGACAGAGAAATAGGACTCATTCTCAGGACACTTCTTATCTATCAAAGAAAGGTCAGGCATGTAAGTACTGATAGCATGCAAAGGAGGGAGGAAATAGTTTTACATGGAGGTAGAACTCAAACTTAAGTAAATGTGTGTTATAGTAGGCTCAATGAGTACACCTACTGGTGATTATCTTGATTTTTCAGTGAATGCCATAAAACAATCTTTCTTGACATAATCTTTTATTATATCAGATTTTATTATAAGCATATGCTAATGCTCTTATGTTAAAAGCCCTTGAGAACACACAGTATATAAAATGTATTATTTTAAATACCATGATGTTATACAGTATGAAAGTTAATGCTATTTATTGAGTGATTTTGACATCTTGGCCATAAATATTGGCTGTTTCAAATTATTGAGATTCTGCATGCAAATTACAGACCTCAAAATCACTCTTGGGTCATGCTGTGTGGATATGCCTATTAGCTGCATTACAGTCCATCCAAAGATTTATCCACCCAAGTGATTTTGCATCCACTCAGCTGAATAATGCATTTTCCTAGATCAAATAACTAGCTCAAGAGCTACCCACCTCCACTACCACTGCCAATCTCAAAACAGATTTTCTTAATTAATCACTACAGTTTTTTTTTTGCTCAGCCTGGATATAGCCTCAGAATCCTTCTAAATATAGTGTTCCATGTAATCACTACCAATTAATCTGAACTGGCACCTAAGCTGGAACTATTTCTTATCCTTGCTTGTGGTCAGATTACATCTTGTGGTCATATTAGAGCCAAATTGAACTAAAAGGAATGTGGCACATTTTGAAGAGCTTTTAGAAAATTAAGAAAGAATGAGGAAGATACTGATATCAGGGATGGTGACTTTCCCTGGACTGCCACTAATAAAATTGCTATTCTAGAAAAAAATGATAATGTTTTTGGTGAGCTGTTTATTTCTCTTACTTTATTAAAAATAATCATTTCAATAAACAAATGGGACCTAATCAAACTTACAAGCTTTTGCACAGCAAAGGAAACCATAAACAAAATGAAAAGACAACATACAGAATGGGACAAAATATTTGCAAACAATGTGACTGACAAGGACTTAATTTCCAAAATATACAAACAACTCATACAACTCAATAACAACAAAAAAACCCAAACAACCCAATCAAAAAATGGGCAGAAGACCTAAAAGGACATTTCTCCAAAGAAACATACAGATGGCCAGTAGGCACATGAAAAGCTGTTCAACATCACTAATTATTAGAGAAATGCAAATCAACACTACAATGAGGTACCACCTGACACCGATCAGAAAGTCTACAAATAGAGAGGACCTTCAAGATGGCGGAAGAGTAAGACGTGGAGATTACCTTCCTCCCCACAGATATATGAGAAATACATCTACATGTGGAACAGCTCCTACAGAACACCTGCTGAACACTGGCAGAAGACCTCAGACCTCCCAAAAGGCAAGAAACTCCCCACGTACCTGGGTAGGGTAAAAGAAAAAACAGAGGCAAAAGAATAGGGATGGGACCTGCACCAGTGGGAAGGAGCTGTGAAGGAGGAAAGGTTTCCACACACTAGAAGCCCCTTTGCGGGCGGAGACTGCGGGTAGCGGGAGGGAAGCTTCGGCGCCACGGAGGAGAGCGCAGCAACAGGGGTGAGGAGCGCAAAGCGGCGAGATTCCCGCACAGAGGATCGGTGCCGACCGGCACTCACCAGCCCGAGAGGCTTGTCTGCTCACCCGCCGGGGAGGGCGGGGCTGGGAGCTGAGGCTCGGGCTTCGGTCGGAGCGCAGGGAGATGACTGGGGTTGGCGGCGTGAACACAGCCTGAAGGGGGCTAGTGCGCCACAGCTAGCCGGGAGGGAGTCCAGGGAAGAGTCTGGACCTGCTGAAGAGGCAAGAGACTTTCTTGCTTTATTGTTTCCTGGTGCGCGAGGAGAGGGTATTCAGAGCGCTGCTTAAAGGAGCTCCAGAGACGGGCGCAAGCCGCGGCTAACGGCGCGGACCCCAGAGACAGGCATGAGATGCTAAGGCTGCTGCTGGCGCCACCCAGAAGCCTGTGTGCGAGCACAGGTCACTATCCACACCTCCCCTCCTGGGAGCCTGTGTAGCCCGCCACTGTCAGGTTCCCGGGATCCAGGGACAACTTCCCCGGGAGAACGCACAGCGTGCCTCAGGCTGGTGCAATGTCACGCCGGCCTCTGCCGCCGCAGGCCCGCCCCGCACTCCGTGCCCCTCCCTCCCCCCGGCCTGAGTGAGCCAGAGCCCCCGAATCAGCGACTCCTTTAACCTCGTCCTGTATGGACGAAGAACAGACGCCCTCAGGCGACCTACATGCAGAGATGAGTCCAAATCCAAAGCTGAACCCCCAGAGCTGTGTGAACAAAGAAGAGAAAGGGAAATCTCTCCCAGCAGCCTCAGGAGCAGCGGATTAAAGCTCCACAATCAACTTGATGTACCCTGTATCTGTGGAATACCTGAATACACAATGAATCATCCCAAATTGAGGAGGTGGACTTTGGGAGCAAGAATGTA